AGAAATGGCAAGCAGCAGAACATCCCTTATGCCCAAGCTTTATTCACTCTCCATGTCTTTCCACCCCCAACTCCCTGCCAAAAATTGCCCTGCCCACCCCCAAGGTAGGGCCTTACCAGGGCACTCTCAGTTACAATACTGCATGCCAATTGGGTCTATTTTTCAAAAGGGTAGCGCTAAAGGCAGCAAAAGTCCAGGCAGTAGATTATACTAATCCAGGACAGATTAATCAGGAAGAAAAGTAACCTCCATCAGTATTTTATAAAGGCTCAAGGACCTGCTTGAACAATTTTTCTTTTTTGACTCTTTTTTATATTTCCATGGAAAACTGTTTCTACAGGTTTTCAGGATAGCCAAACTTATTAAAGCCTGCTTCTAAAACCCCATTTAAGTCTAAACAAACAAATTCTAACATTTGAAAAAATCAGTCATGGAGACCAGCCAGAAAAGGAGAATTAAAACTTTCATCCTGGGCTGGGGATTTAGCTCAGCAGCAAAGCGCCTGCCTGGCAAACGCAAGGTCGTGAGTTCAGTTCCCGGTACCGGAGAAAAACCACAAAAAAACCCACAAAAAACAAAACTTTCATCCTAAGAAAAACAAAACAAAAACAAAAAACAAAAACAAAAAAAACCCTTTAGGCCCAGGGAAACAAAAATTGATACATTTGAGTGGGTATTTTTATTTACTTGATACACTAAAAGTATTTCTCGTACACTGTAAATTCTTAGACTACAATTTCAGGGTTGACCTGTTCTTCCTACTTTGTCCTGGTACTAAGATAATTTTGCCATTCAAGGTTACTTGGAGAGTCAGTTGGCAAATTTAGTAATGCAACAACCTGAGAAGTGAAACTAGTAATGTAACAATCTGAGAGCACCCTCTCCGGGTCCCAGCTCTTCTCTGCTGTCTAACTGGTGTCTTCTGACCAAGGCTTAACTCTAATTTCTGAAATTGACCTGAGTTTTTCTGCATAACTAACAGGGACACCCAGACTGGTCAATGACAAGAAGTAGGACAGAGCAGTCTCCTTAGATAGTTCTGACCTGGTTTGTGACACTCATGATTGCTGACCTCCTAGTGTACTAAATGCATTTGTTTCCCAAGTGTAAAGGTCTTCAAAGATGCAAAACTAAAAAACACCTCATATATTAGCAACTTCCAGGCTAATGTTACTTATGGTGATAAACCTCTTTGCTCAAGAATCAGGCTTTCCCTTACTTGTTTTCCAGCTACTTGTGATGAGATGCGTATGCCCATCCAACAGGAGAGAGCCAGAATTGTGATGTGTGTGTTAGGTATGTGTCACAGCGCTTAGAGATGCTCAAAGTCTGTGCAGTCCAGGCAGTGTCGCATAAGATACATTCTTCTTAGATGGCTTAGGGACCATCTAAGGTCCCTCAGATGCTTAAAGAGACCACTTCAAATTTCTTCCCCCTATTCTATCTACTGAAGGATGACAAATTTAAGTAAGATTTCTTAATGTCATCTAGTGACATCATCATGATTGTTCTGCTGAAATGTGATCTCAAGTGTTCTCTGTGAAACTTTATAATGGTTATCCTGCAGGGATTGAACTTCTAAGACAATCCATGATTGGGTAAGGGGATAACAGCCCCCTGATCATACTATATACTTCCAGGTATTTGATATCTAGACGAGATAACTAATCTCCTGGGTGTTCAACAACTGAGATTTAATGACCAAAATTGAAAAGGTCACCGGGCTAAGAGGACATCTAATATTTTGGCTCTGGCCCTCCAGCGTCAGCAAGGACCCAGGACATGAGAGGACCTTTCCTACAGGATTTCTACAGGATTCAACAACTTTGGTAAGTCCCCCAACCTCCTGAGCAGGGAGATTGCTGGACCCCAAAGAGTGAACCAATGTGTAGTGTGCTAAGAGGAGCGTCACCAGCTATGAGGAAGCCATGAGGTCAAGCAAGACTGTGACTCACCCTGGGGCTGACACTGACAGAGGAGCTGAGAGGCTCTGTACGTGGTTCCAAAAGTACTACCCGAGGAGCCTTGGTAGATAGCAAGAGGTTAATTTTGATTAACACAGGTCTCATTTTAACTTGGTCTTGAACCCAGCGAAAAGTATAAACAAAAACATTAAAATAATAGTAATATAGGGTCAACATAAAAAGGGGGGTGCCAATCACTGAACCCCGGTGACAGTTTCTAGCTACAGACAGGTCTAGAGGCCAGCTGGTTAAAATTGTTATTCCAATCCCTTCCATGCTGGTGCTCACAGTTTGGTCATACACGCTTTAATCTTTTGGTAAAGTTTGTTTATTCTCACCTAGAGACTGCCAAATTCCAAGTGACCATGCAAATGAAGCCAACCATAAAACTGCCTGGGATCCACTGCACCCCTGCAAAATCTGCCCAAGGGGGCCCATGCATCGCGCTTTGCACAACTGCTGTGCTTTTATGCCAGATCATCATGATTATATCACCGCAGCTCTGCAGAAGATAAACACAGAGGTCCAGGCAGTACAGCAAATATCTCAGGAACCCCTACAGGGTTCATGGGATGCGTGGGAGTCTACTGTCCTATTCTGGGTTCTTCTTTTCGTAACGCCTGTTCACCTCTTTCTCCTCACCTGTTTATTATTGCCGTACCTACTCAATCTGTTTCAAAGATTTCTCACCAACAGGATTGTGGCCACTTCACAGGTGATTGCTAAAGATCACATCAATACGATCCTCCTTCTTCAGTCCAGACAAAGCCCCAACCATGATGCCCCCAATCAGGAGGAAGTAGTTAAGGAAGAGATGGGCTGCCCATTTCTTTATTTAACCACTGACTCTGGACCACAGCCATCCTAGTCTGAGCAGAGACCACTTTAAATTTCTCCCTCCTGCTGTGCTTTCACGCCTGCTGCAGATGTATCATCACGGGTTGATAAGGCCCAATAAGCACAGCTACACCCTAAAATTCCCAGCCATTGCTCAGCTCTGTTCCTGACAAACATGCAAGTCCTTGTACGTCCTCGAGCTCTGGCCCTGGCACACAGCCACAGCTCCTTCAGACTGAACTCCCCTCCACCCTGAAAGTCCCATCGTGGCCTTTTCCTTCCACAGCCCCCTTTTTACACTCACGACCCTATAAAGGCCTTCTAGCCTGTATGAGAGTGAGCTGCTGTGGCTTCTAGTGCCAGAGCCGCCCCGCTCAGGTTTGTTCTGAAATAAACCTGTCCTGTTCAGCTTGTACCTCTGGCTCTTTTCCTTTTTTCGTAACAGCACACACCTATAATTCCAGCATTCAAGAGGCTGAGGCAGGAGGATCTACAGCCTGAACCATTCAACTCAACTCAACTATTTCAATCTCCCTCCTTGTCACTTAGCCTTTGGATAGTCTTCTTCTGATGTGCTTGTGCATGTACATGTACACAGACACATAGATACACACACACACACACGCACACACACACACACAGATACACGCACATGCACACACAGAGTCCCAGCCCCCCAGACCTTCCCAGGACTGGCATCTTCACACAGTCTCTACTGTTCCCAAACTTCATCTGCAAATGCCCCCATCACACTTCCCACCCTCTGCACACACAGCTGCGAGATTCATATCCTCCCCCAACAGCACAGCTCCTCGAGCCTTTGTAGACAATAGCGGCTTCATCTAAATTTTCTTCTAGTAGAAGCACCTTGTGACCATCCCAGCAGATGAAGGGCTTCAGGTCTGGAATCAGATGCCTGGAATCGGGGCTTTACCCCTTTGCTAACTGTGTGAACTGTAGGAAGTCCATTCATTCATCTGAGCTCAGCTGCTTTGTCTGAGAAATGAGGAGTACTAAGGGCCCTTTTCTCACCCAGGACCTGGCAGATGCTACTGAGGGTGGGGATTGCTTAGAGACCCCAGCTGCTTCTCACTTCCTCTTTCCCCATCTCCGCCATAACCCGTGTTGTCTCCTAGACAGCCTCTTCCCCGCTGCCTGTCCACACAACTCCTCTGAAGGGGTAGTGATATCAGTCACACATACTTTGAGGGTGCATTGAAGCTGCTCGGACCTTTTATCCCGGTCCCATTTCCCATCACAGACAGGAGGCTCAGGCTGTTAGCTGAGAGGAAGTGGTCCATGGGTGACCACACGAAGGAGAGGGACATTATACTTCTAGTGTCCCACCAAATCGATAATCACCTCTCCGGTCATCCTCCCTTTTCCCATAGTGCACTGGCTCTGGGGAGCAGGGAACGATGGCACCTGGAGAAGATGCCACAGAAAACATGCCTGCATGACTTCACCTCCAGATCATGCTCTCAAAATTCCAGCCAAATCAGCGCTACCCTTTAAGGGGTGAAAGGAAGGCTGGCATTCCAGAAGTTCCTTGTCATACTCAGGCTTCAATCAGTGGACGTTAGAGGATGAGCGTCCCAGTGCTGAAAGGCTCATGGGATCGAGGGTGTGTGAGACCGTGGGGACGGGGGTCTCGGAGGTGCCTTGTGCCCTTGCGCAGGGGCCGAGCGAAATCTTTGTAGCCTGGAAAGCCTGTTTGCGCGGGTTCACTCGGGGAGATCAGCACCACGGACAGCGGCCAGGGCGCAAGCTGTGGGGTGGGGGCCCAAGTTCCTGCCGGGAGCAAGAAGGGCTCTTGTGGGTGGGTGTCGGCTGGGGCTGTGCCTCTCGGGATGATGGGGTCCCCCTTGCCATTTCCACCAATGCTTGGGGTGGAGAGGGAAGGGTAGTGTCATTTAGGTTCCCTGGAGTTTCTTTCCTTCAAGAAAAGAGAAAGCAGGAGACCAGGGTGAGTTGATGTCTCCACAAACCTCCCCCACCCCTCCACGGCCCCATCCGGCCATTTCTATACAAGGCCTGCTCTCCCCAGCTGCCACCCCCATGCGTGTTCTGCCACCCCATGAGGATTCCTCGGAGGCAGGCAGCAGTGAAGGGTGCATTCTCAGGCCTTGAGCTCAGCTGGCCGGAATGTGGCTGATAAATCAGAGATAAACCCCCACTCGGGGGAAGGGCTACCCGGACAACCAGCCCCAAGATAAAAGGCTGAGTTGCAGAGGAGCCAGGAGAGCAGTGGGTAGAGAGAAGGTGGGACAGGAGCTCAGGCAGCTAGGATTGTTTCAGCACCGGCCACCCTTCCTTCGATATGGGTCCCCAGACAGCCCTGCCTCGCACGATTCTGCTCCTGCTTTTCCTGTACTTATCCGAGGGAGGTCGATCCCACCCTCTGGGCAGGCCCGACCAGGCTTCGGACCAATCGGGAATACAGGTGAGCACTAAGGAACTGCAAGGACATGGGCTCCCTGGAGGGCTGGCAGCAGCAGTCAGAGGGTTCCAGCTTCCCATCCCAGTGGGTCCCCACTTGCGGCGGGAATTAGTGATAGCTGAATTAGAACGCAGCAAGATTTGATACCAGGATCCCTTCTGGGCACCAGCAGGGTGGGGGAGCCCAGGTGTGTGCTGCTGAGGCTGGGGCCTCCCGCTCAATCCGGAAACTGTTGCATCTTCTTGGGGACAAGGTCTCGGAGACACAGCCAGAGCACGTGACTCCGGAGCCACGCCAGCAGGGCAGATTGCCCACAGAAGCCTGGAAGGCCAAGAAAGCAGCCCCCAAGAGCACCCTCCAGGCCTTTAGGGGAGTCCAAATGCCCAAGGTGAAGCAAGATTCCAGTTGCTTTGGGAGGACAAGGATGGACCGGATCGATTCCGTCAGTGGCCTGGGCTGCAAGGGTAAGCCCTCTCCCGGTCACTCCCTCTGTACACATGCCACCAACAGTCACTTCAGGGAAACGGTCACCGTGGGCATCACCACTCCACATCTGAGTCCCCTTCCCCCTCCCCTCCACACCCTGCTGTGCCACAGAGGGGCAGTGTCTTGGGCGGGTGGAGCTGGCTCGGGGTCAGGCAGCCCCTGCTTGGAGCAGAAAGAGCCCTGAATGTCACTCCCCCTGAGTTCCCCCAAACTGCCTGGAAACCCAAGGCAGAGGCCAGGGTAGCCCCACTTTACAGAGGAGAAAACTGAGTCCCTCAGAGATGGGATATTCCAGAGCCTCAAGTATACAGATCAGCTGAGGACTCCGGCAGTGGGGGCGGGAGTGCATAAGGTGCTGAGAAGCTCGGCTCCTGCCTCAGGTTCCCTGCTGAGGCCACCACCACCCTGTCTCTTCTCCCCACAGTGCTGAGGCGGCCTTAGGAAGAAGCCCAGGCTACAGACATCTGCTTCTGATACCACGAGGGCTCCGACCCCAACCTCCTGACCTTCCTTGATTGACTCCTATTTATTAATTTATTTTGATTTATATATTTGATTATTTTCTATAAGATGGCTTCTTACCTTTGAGCAAATACTTCCCACAATGAAATAAAATCAACAGTACAGCACTTTCTTTGGTAATGGGTTTGTTTCTGTGTGAGCAAAACAATCCTTCATTTTGACGGGGGGAGAAAAAATGAAATAAAGCACACAAAGCCTCCTGTTTTCTTGAAGGTCCCAGAGATGTTTAACCGCGGGGTAGGGCGAGGCCTCAGGCCTGGCCCAGTTCGGTGGCTGGGGCTCCTTTCCTCTGGGAGTTTCAATGCCCTGGAATGCTGGTCACACCTCGGCACTCAGGCACTGTGCAGAAATTGCTTTCCTAAGTGGGCACTTCTTTTCTTCCTGGGTCCGGAACCTGAGAGGGTGTGTGTCCCTGCATCTGTCCTGCCAAGCTTGCCTGCGTGCAGCCACCATTAGAGCACTCTCCTGGGGTTACTGTCTCCGGAGTCCAACGAAAATGTCAGCCATTGGAGGCTCTCTCTCTCTCTCTCTATCCCTACCGCTCCAGGCTCCTTTGTATTCCTGGTGCGGGTGTGTGGGGAACTCGTGACTTTCTCAGTGCACCCCAGGGAGGAACAGCGGTGGGTATGTGGAAAATAAAAAAAAAAACAGACAAAAGTGGGGTCAGGTGGAGTTACCCCTCTACCTTGGGGGGGGGCCAGAGAACTGAACAACAATAGCAGGGACGTTCATTTATACCCTTGCAAAGTTAGTGTCATGAGAGGCAATGTTGCCTAGCAACTAAGGACTCAGATAGTCCAGGCAGGATGTTTTTCTCAAGGCTGAGGTAGCCTGACTGCTTGAGGCACTCTGGCCCTGTCCTGCCCTCAGACATATGTCCAATTTCTAGCTCCAGCAGCTCCCTACAGCGGGGAGGCTTTCCTCCTGCACCAAACTTCAGCTTCAAACCTGCAATCCCTGTGCCCAGCATGGTGATGCACCCCTGCAATCCCAGAACTCAGGAGGCTGAGGCAGGAAGATCGCTGGAAGATTGAAGCCAGCCTGGGCTAGATAGTGAGTTTAAGGAAAGCCTGAATGATACAGCAAAACCTTGTCTAAAAAATCCTAACCAACCAACCAGCAAAGCAAGCAGCAAAAACCTAAACCTGCAATCCCTGATGTCACCCTGAAAGGAGCTTTCAAATACACAACCTACAAGGTTACAGAGGCCTAACAAGGGGCCCCTCCCCTGACGCTGTATCATTCCTTCCTCTGCACACTGGAAGAAATAGGAAACACCTCAGAATCCTAGCGGGGTTACTGCTCTCTCCTCCAGGGGATCCCCCCCAATCCTATGTTTCCCACATATCCCAGGCCATGATACTGAACTCTGTCCATATAATGCCATTTACGATCAGCTCAGCTGAGGGGAGAAGGGCACTGAGGCAGTACTGCCATTATTAACCCCTTCCTCTACCATTTTGTCAAAAATGTGATTTCCTTATGTAGCTCAGGTTGGAAGTGAACTCACTATGTAGTCCAAGCTGGCCTCAAACTCAAGACAATCCTCCTGCCTCAGCCTCTCAAGTGCTGGGATTATAGGTGTCTGCCACCACACCCAGCTCTATTAGCGCCATTTGATTTTTTTTTTTTTTCCTGGTACTGGGAATCGAACTCACAACCTTGTGCTTGCAAGGCAGGCGCTGTGCCACTGAGCTAAATCCCCAGCCCCTAGCCCATTTGTGAGGTGAGAAAATTGAGACCCAGAAAAACTTAGCATCCTTCCCGAGAGCACACAGCCACTAAGCCCCGGAGTGACTTCCAGCCCGTGCTCCCTGGCTCCCGGTCCACAGGCTGCTGGCCTTGACCTCTGCCCTTGTGTTCTTTCTGACAGCTCATCCTGTATGCTAAGACAGTGGAACTGGAGCGGGGTCCTTGTGTTGCTTTGTACATTCACGCAGTGTGTGCCAGAGCTTATGGACCACGAATGAGATGAAGTAAAATGTTTTGTTTGTTTGTTTTTGTTTTTGTCCGGTACCGGGAACTGAACTCACGACCTTGCACTTGCCAGGCAGGCGCTTTTGCCACTGAGCTAAATCCCCAGCCCCAAACTAAAATGTTTTAAATGGAGGTTTTAGGAGCAGCTAATTTTCTAAGAAACGTCAAGTCACTGCCTGGTGCTTCTGACCCAGGGAGGGCATGGAGGGGTAAAGCAGTTAACGGGGTAAAGGCCTGTTCCGGCTCGGTCTGCTCTGATGGTCTCTCATTACCTCTCAGCTTATGGGAGGGGTGACCAAGGCCCGGAGAGGTCCTGTGACAGGGTCAGTAGTGTGGTTAGTAGAGATGGAGCTGGAGCCAGGATCCAGCCTGGGCCCCTAAACACTGTCTCACCCAGCCTTTTCTTTTCTTTCATTTACTTTTTGTTGTTGTTTTTTGTTTCTGGAGACAGGGTCTCACTATGTAGTCTAGGCTGGCTCTGAACTCATGGCGATCCTCCTGCCTCAGCCTCCCTAGTGCTAGGATCACAGGCATGTGTCTAATTCCATCCAGTCTTTTCCAAACCAGTGACTCAGGTTTGCTGAGAGGAGAGGAGTAGGTCATCTTCTCCTGACAGTCACTGGATTCCACATTTGGGGGCAGGACTAGGGTGTAGCTCGGTGGTAAAGTGCTTGCATAGCATGCATGAGGCCCTGAGCTTGAATTCCAAATCCATTTTAAAAACAGCTTTGGGGCTAGTGCTGCCCTACTCTCCGGTGACGGGAGCAGCATTCCCCAGCCTCCCAGCACACTCACAGCCCAGTGTGGTCAGAACTCAGAATCCCCCAGCATCCCTGCTCAAGCACGAAGTCAGTTGGCAGAATGTAGGTGCATGCTATGTCCCGAAGGTCCAGGAAAGATGACTGGGGTGCTCGGAAGAGGCCTTTCCGGAAGTCTTTGCCCACATCAAAGCCCATCTCAAAGGGCATCTCTGGAGACGGCCGCGTGACGCATGCAGTGCGGAGCCCAGTCCCCCAGTGCGGCTGTGCTTCGAGCTGAGGCGTCTTTGCTAATAATAACCCTGCAGCCGAGCAATTAAGCTGTGAGCACATTCCAGGGACACTGGGAGCTGATGGATTTTTGGCTCCAAAGCTCTTACTGAGAATTGTTCCAGTTTCAGATTTCAAGTTGAATTTGGCCCAAATCAGTTGCCTAAATCCGTAAGGTGGCTCAAGGGGGTCCCCCTTTTCCTTCCGTCTTAGAATACTATCCTCCTGAGCACCTCTTGTGACCAACCTCTGGCCACTTCCTGCCCAGATTTCCTGTCTTGTAGCTCCGTGAAGTCATCACCATTGGTCAGTAGAGGGGCTGACACAGCTGGGCTTGCATCTGGCCAGGATGAAACTGGCCATGCAACACACAAGGCCTGAGCTTCCCCGGAGTGGACTGAAGCATGGCAGAGCGGGGAAGGGGCCCTGGGGACCATACATCACCCCTCCAGAAGACGATCAGCAAGAGGAGGGCTTGCCCGGTGTGGTGGTGTGCACCCACAATCCCAGCACTTAGGAAGCTGAGGCAGGAAGATCACCTCAAACTTAAGGTTAGACTCACTACATAGTGAGTTCAAGGCCAGCCTGAATGACATAGTGAGACCCTGTCTCAGAAAACAAAAACAGAGAGAGAGAAAGAGACAAGCCAAGCACACACAGCCTCGTCACACGCACCAAGATCAAAAAAGGACAGGTGGGGGGCTCTTCAGGGCCAAGAGGAGGGGATGGGGTGACACTGAGAATGTCACTACAGGGAACAGAGACAGCAGTACATATGACATGGTCAAGGATGTGACCATTTGTGTCGGACCTAGGGCTCCACTCCTGGTTCTGCCACTCTTGAGCTCAGGGCCCTTGGGTGAGTGACATAACCTCTGGGTCTCAGTTCTGTCCCTCTGTACCCAGGAATGACAGTACCCGCCTCCTGGGGAGGGGTGAGGCCACCCACACACAGCTCTCCACTCAGTGCCTGGCCATTTTCCAGTCACCCATCAAGGAAACCATCATCACTGTCCTGCAGCTGGGTGGCATGGTCCCCGGGGATGCAGGGTCACACGGTCTCTTCTCCTCTGAGCCCCACAGGTGCCCTGAGAGGGGGGAGGGGAGGTCTCATATTTTCCTCATTTTACAGATGAGGCCCTGATCTGACAGCACCTGGCCTGTCAGGGGCCACTGTGCCGGGGTCCCAGCCCTTGAGCTCAGACCCCCGACCCTGTGTACATTGTGTTGCGTGTAGGGTGACACTGAGGTCTGAGCTCAGTAAATGGAGGCCACTTGATATTCCTTCCTCCAGAGAGATGGGGAAATTGAGGCCACCATGCTCCATCATTTCCTGGCCCCAGAGAAGGACCTGGCAGGCATGAGGGAAACTGCACGTCACCTTCACCCCCACGTCCCTCCTCGCCTCAGCATCCTTGCTGGGCTCACCCGCCTCGGAAGGGTGGGGCGTTGCCTGCTACAAGTGGATGGGCGTGAGCGGCTGTGAGCCGACGGCGGAGAGAGGGACAGGCAGCCTCCTGACATGGGCGACGGCCGGGAAGGGGCAGGAGCTGTGGGGAAGAACCCTGCCGCCCCCCAGCTTTCCCTGGTGTTTATGCTTGGGGGCTGGATTCTTGGGACTTGCATCACACGTGCTTCTTTGCTGACAGTCCTCTCGAACAGGACTCCCTCCACCCAGCTGCCGAGGGGCGCATTCAAGGGAGGGGGCCGAGGGTCCGCCCTGAGCGGAGCCCCGATGAATCAGGTGCAAAGGCAGCCGGAGCATCTGCACTCCCTCGAGCAGCCGGCTGCCTGCCATTTCCTCCTCTCCCGCCCTTATTTGGAGCCCTTGACAGTTGAGCCACAAACAGAGCGAGAGAGAGAGCGAGCGAGCGAGCGAGCGAGCGGGGAGCTGGGCGCCGGCCAGCCGTCACCCTGTGCTTCTCCGCGCGGGTCCCGTTGTCCAGGAGAAAGAATCCTGCAGCGCGGTGGCGCTCAGATAACCAAGGACTCTTTTGCTCTTCTCACACCTTTGAAGTGGGGGCCTCTTGAGGCAAATCAGCAAGAATGTGGCTCTTGCAGCAGAGGGTCCGGGGGCTGTTGGGGCTGCCCAAGGCAGAGGGACTGTGACCAGCTCTGCTGGACTGATAACTTTAAAAGGGCATCTTCTGCTGGCCCCTCACGCTGCCGCTTTATCGCTGCAAGTGACACAATGGGGAGGGTTCTAGCCCTCCTGCGCTCGCCGAGAGCTGGGGGGCTATAAAAACCGGAGGCGCCGGGCAGCTGGGAGACAGTGACGGACCAAGGCCGAGAGGGAAGCCGGAGAGGACAGAGAAGAGGCAGCAAGCACCAGATCGCTCCTTGACCAGTGTCGGCATGGGCTCCTTCCCCACCATCGCTGTGAGCCTCCTCCTCTTCCTTGAATTTCAACTTCCAGGCCAAGCCCAAGCCAACCCCGTGTACAACGTCGTGTCTAACGCAGACCTGGTGGATTTCAAGGTAGGGCCAGGAAAAGGGGTGCGGCCTGGGACCAAAGGGCTCTCAGGTACTGGGTCCATTCCTCTTGATTTTCTCAAAGTCAACAAGATCTCTCCCTTCCCCTGTGCTTTCTTTCCGTAAAGAATTTGCTGGACCGCCTGGAGGAGAAGATGCCTTTGGAAGACGAGGTGGTGTTGCCCCAAGTTGCAAGCGAGCCGAATGACGAAGCGGGGGCCGTTCTGAGCGCCCTCCCTGAGGCGCCTTCTTGGACTGGGGAGGCCAGCCCAGCACAGAGGGATGGGGGTGCCCTCGGCCGAGGGCCCTGGGACTCCTCCGATCGATCTGCCCTCCTGAAAAGCAAGCTGAGGGCGCTGCTCGCTGCCCCTCGGAGCCTGCGTAGGTCCAGCTGCTTCGGGGGCAGGATGGACAGGATTGGAGCCCAGAGCAGCCTGGGCTGCAACAGCTTCCGGGTAAGAGGAGATGGGGATGGGGATGGGGTGAGGAGGGAGAAAATTGTGGCTTTGTTGAGATTCGAACCTTGCCAAAGAATACCACCAGATTACTGCATCTGACAGGCAAGGGAGCAGTGTGGAGGCTTACTCCCTCTGAGATTCCGGCCCCAACTTGGCAGGGGTTCCCTAAGTCTCAGGACAGTGTTATCAACTCAACTACAGCCTGTGGAAAGAAAGTGCTTTAAAAAAAAAACTACAGCCACCAGCACCGGGAAATTAGGGTGCTCACAAGCCAAGCCATCTTTGCTCTGCTGATCAGCAGTGTGTGTCCTTCCCCACTATTGCCAGACCCTGAAGGAGTTAAGGGAAATCAGCAAGGATTGCCCTGCTTGGCTCTAATGAGGAGCTGTTTACCAGTCGTGGGAAACTCAGAGGGTCATCAGGCTGCAGAGGGGGCTGGAGGAAAACAGCAGGTCGGGGGTCAGTTGGAGAGGTCCGGTACTGTCCTATGAAGCTGGCTCTTCCAGTAGGGTCACCAAGCCAAATATGTTTTTCTGTTCATAGTATCGAAGATAACAGCCAGGGAGGACAAGGTTGGCCAGGCCCCAGGGCAGACCGAAAGAGACCCTCCTCCCCTGGTGTCTCTCCTGCAGTGAGGTCTCCTGCCATTGTCATCGAGTTGTGATGAGCACCGGATTGGAGCTGCCACTTCCCGTCAGCATTTCTCACGTTTTGTGCTACATGTAGACAAAGTGGTTTCCTTGTGGTTTTCCCGCCTCGCCCACCCCATGCGTTACTGTAGACCCTCACCTGTTACCGACCGCAGCTGGAAAATGAATAAATTTCAGCACCACGGACAGAAACCAAATGCCGGACTCTCGTGATTTCTTTCTTTCCCACCACCCACAGTCCTGGTTCTTTTACCCTTTCTGAGAGAAGAGAAAGAAAATTACTTCCTCTTTGTTTTATTTGCGTTCTTGCTGGGGTAGGGCGGGGTTCCCACTGCAGTCCTCAACCTACTCTGCCTTATGCTCCAGCCTGTTATTGAGCCCAGAAAAGCCCCCGAAGACCGGAAGGGCATTTATTTTTATCTGCATTTACTCACTTAGAGCCCTTGTTTATTCAAATCTCACGAACAACTGGACTTATTTTCAGGGTTTTCGCAGGGTGGCAAGTACTCAGTAGACAGTATCCTTAGTGCTTTTTGGTTACAGCTTGGGTGTTTTTAGAAAGTGAGGGGCACTAAGAAGATTTTCTCTGCTCCGTCTGAGTTACCTGCTGGAGCTCAGCGAATTACGCTTCCGGTATGGACAACAGTTGGCAGAGTGAGGGTCTCAAGAGATGAGCAAAGTGGAGAAAGGTTTGCTAGGCTGACAAGCCCCGAGTTCCTGGGCTTCGGGAACTACTGCACTCGAACTTATTAATGTTTTGGCGCTAGGGACTGATCCCAGGGAACCACACACGTGTGGAAAATTCTCACAGCCTTCCCCTAATTCAGCCCAAGGTGCCTGAACTCGCAGATGGTCTTGAGGAGGGAGCCACTGGGGAAGATGCAGTATTTCTGCATCTGCTGTTGAAACGGGCACTGTCCGGAGCAGAAAATGCCAGGCACTACGTTCACCCTGAATAGGGAGTGCGACTCTGACCACCTCGCCAGCCTACTTTCCAGCCAGGGTCTCCAACACCCCTTTACCTGCACACCCGCCTCTTCCTGCCCTCGTTTCTGCAGCTCCTTCTTTCCCACCCACAATGCCGTTATCAGGTCCTTCCAAGGATGTTTTCCCTGTTCTTCAAGGCTCTCTGGACATGCCTTCCTGAAGCCTTTGCTGACACCACGCCCCAGTAAAGGTCAGTCTCTTTCCAGGAGGCATTTTGTAGCTGTTATAATACAACAGCTTGCTGCGCACGTGACCATGTGTGTCTGTCCCCAGGTTCCAAGCTCTCGGGGGTGAGAGTGGGGTAAATGCTCTTCAGCCCTCCCACAGCCAGTGCTCCACAACCGCTGCCCACACCACCTTGGTGCCATGCAGAAATGCAGGGAAAAGGAAGCCAAGCAGCAAGGTGCCCCTTGTCGAGAGCAGAAGGGGCTGGAAGTGACCAAGAGGAAGGGGTTGGAGATGAGAGTTCTGATCATTTCCAACCATAATGTTCCTGGGTTAGACATCAGATATGGAAGGGCAGAAAAGCCAGGAGAATGACTGAAAGGCCCAGCATGAGACGGGGGAGGGGTCTGTAACCTGGCCCCCGGATCCGCTAGGAAGGGCAGCTGGGCACACTGCCAAGCTGCCGCCCTGACAAGGGCTCCCACTGAACAGAAGTGACGGCACAGAGGCAGAAAAGGCGCCTGGGCTGGGGGAAAGGAGCGTGGGCCGGGCGGAGGAGCTGACCGGGCTATTCCTGGTGGAACAGCAAGAGCAACACTGCTTACAAAACAAAACGAATGAACCAGCAGTGACGGACACCGGTCACATCTAAAGACGCGGTGTCGCTTGTCTCTCTTCTGGTTGAACTGGGGGCAAACTCCTAAACACAACGCTATCAGGAAACCAAAGGCAGGGTCCCCTCCGACGCTGGCAGGAGCAGGAGACTTTGACGGGGAAAGGTTAGCAACTCTGATGGACCCGTGCTCATCTGCGGGGAGGAGGAACGCAGCGGCGAGCTGGTGACTGTGGGGAAGATCCACAGGACCAAGGCAGGTGTGGTGGCGCACACCAGTGACCCAGCACTCGGGGGTAGGGGCGAGGTCAAGGCCAGCCTGGGCTACGTAGTTCGAGGCCAGTCTGAACTACAGAGCAACATCCTATCTCAAAACCAAAAACACTCCCAGGTCCACAGAACCAAACATATGCCTCCTTAGGGCAGGACCCTAGTGCCCGTGAGTGGATGCCGTGGATGAGGCCAGCTGGGCAGCAGCAGGACAGCATGGACAGGGACCCCACGCCCCAGTGCTGCAACCCCTACCTATCAGGAAGCAGGGGCAGGATAAAACCCAAGTGCCCTTCAAAAGAAGGCCCCGTGGAGACAAAGGTTAAATAAAGGAGACAGATGCAGACATTTTATTCTGACGTGTCACCATGAGAATGTCCAAGTTCCAAAAGTTCAAATAAAAATAGAATTTTACAAATTAAAAAAAAATACAATTTATATACACAGTAGAATTAGCTAACATTACATATAGACGAACAGTGCAAACAGAAAGGAGGAAGCCGTGCTGTGGAAATGACTGAGGTCCAAGGAGCCGAGGGGCAACGCTGCTGTCAACCCTGTCGTGTGCCGGGGGCCGCGCAGGCCTTTCCTGAAGCTGTCTTCACTAACGGCCGTGCCAGTTCGCCATTCTGCACGGCGGTGGTCCGTGTACGGTGGGGTCAAGCGAGAGTCCCTGCCAGCCCAGGGCTGCTCGTCTACCAAGGTCACCAGTGGATCATCCCCCAAAGCAGTCTCCACAGCCAGGCCTAGGACGCGGCCCCCAGCCCCACTTCTGGGCCCCTGGCAACGGCAAGCAGATGAAGCACAGAAAACCGTCTCCAGCCAGCCCGACTCCTACCGCGGGCCTGGGCATTTGAGGTGCCGTGGCCCTGGGGGCGCTGGGAACAGCAAGCGCTGGACAGGAAGCGGGGGAGCAAGGCGTAGTCACAGGTCGCATCTGGCGGAGGGGCTGTCTTTGGGCTTTTTGGGGAGGGCAGGTGCAGGTGGGAGGAGCAGAGTGAGTCTGGCCCTAAGGGGAGCCTGGCTCGGGTCCTCTTTGGCGCTGTCCCCTCGCTGCAGGGGGAGGGAGGCATCTGCATTCTACTGTCTATTTCTGGGCTAGACTGGGGGTGACTCAAACACAACAGGATACGCACGAGGGATAAATTCCACCGGTGTTTCACCGGGCGGCCGCAAGGCAGTCGGCTGGCGCCCCTGCCCTCTCCGAGCCGGGTCCGGGCTGGGCTCCTGCTCTGCCTGTCTGTGAGAGCCAGGGAGAGGGGAGGACGCTTCTGCAATAGGCAGTCACACCACTCGCCTGGCTTACACAACTGGTTTGCTTTTTCGTTTTGCAGTGCTGGAGTTAGAACCCAAGGTCTCGCACATGCTAGGCAACTGCTCTACCGCTGAGCTACACCACCAGCCCTTTTTGTTTTTAAGGTAAGTTGCCCCCGCTGGCCTTGAACTCTCCATCCTCCTGCTTCAGCCTCCAGAATAGCTGGGCTTCCAGGCATGTGCCCCCGCGCCTGGCAGCTGCTTTCCTTCTCTATGAGAGGAAGGCAGAACGCAGTCGGGCTCCACATGCTGCCGTAACACTGGGCAGCGGCTAGCAGCACATAGCCCCATGACCTCCTGAACCACCTACCAGGAGCATCGCGCCAGCCCGTAAGGCAGAAGCATCCAGAGAGGCTGCGAAATGTACAAATCAGTCATTTTGGTCAAAAAGGTAAATGGGGTGGGGGACAGGACCACAGGGACCCGGAAGGAGCCCTTTGTGGGCGTGGGTAATGCCCCGGAGGCCTGGTCAGGTCTGACCCAGCTCAGACTGTAAGACGCCAGGCCAGGCCACAGGCCTCAGGAGACTTCACGGGCTAAAACGCACTACACGTGAACGGTGCCATCCGAGTGCCCGAGAACTGCTGCAGCAGGGACGGCTGCTGGGACCGATGCTGACAGACGCCCGAGGCTGGAGGAAGAGGCATGCAAACGCCCTACCCTAAGTTCACCCAGGCGAATGCTCCGCAGGGACCTGTGGCTGAGAAGGGCGCCACCCAAGGCCGGGCTGGGGCTGGGGTGTGTGTGTGCTGCCCGTGCTCAGTGCCGAAGGCCCCGGGCTCCCTCCACCTGGTGCCAGCAGCACGACAGGCCTGGCTGAAGCTGCTGCCTCTGGCCCCTCGGGAGGACGGGGTGGTGGCCAGCAGGGAAGAGAGGGCTGGGTGGGGAAACACCTCCCTTCTTGAAGACACTGCTCCTCCCCCCACCAACGCGTTCCTTTCAGTGACCCGGCCCAGGACAAACCCCCCGGGCTTGTGAGATGGTCTCACCCCCTTCCCCGGGGATCAGGGAGGTGGTTCTGTCGCAGGGTGCCCTGCTTTTGCTTAACTCTGGGCTGAGGCCAAGACCGCGCTGCGGCTGTCTCCCAGGAAGACAGACACACACTGAGGAAGTGCAGTCACTCAGAGAGGAGTCGGGACAGGTGGGGAGGAGTCAGCAGGTGGGATATGGCCCACAGGTGAGACACGAGGGGGGCTGCAGTCTGACCCTGTGACTGGACTCCTCACTCGCAGAGCATTCGTGGGACTCCAATGCTCTGTGTCCCGCAGGACGGGCTCCAAGGAGACTCAAACTCCCCGAAGCAAGGGCGCCCCCCTGGATGGGCTGGAGAAGACGAGTCCGGGGATTCAGCTCCCGAGGGGGGCCTGGTCGGCGTCCCGTTCCCACACCTAGAGATGAACTTGATTCCGCAACAGGCCTCGGCCCAAGCCCTTCCCAAAGGGGGACGGCTCCCCAGGAAAGTGACAGTGGGGCTGGCCTGGCTGCCGCCTCTGCCTTGGCTCCTGGGGGCATGGGCAGGCCGTGCCAACACTGGGTGTGGGAAACGGGGAGCAGGGAGCAGGGTGCTTGCTGAGGAGGTCAGAGAAGTCCCAACTCCGATGGCTCAATACCATTCCTGGCGCCTCTGACCAGCAAGTGCTCACGACTCCAGGCTGCTGGGAACCTTGTGCCCCGGGACAGTGTAGCCAGTGGTGGCTGCAGAGTGAGCGGAGCAGCGGGCGGGCGTCAGAGGGTCTGGTAGTGCTGCCGCAGCCGCGCCTGCAGGAACTCGTGCGTCAGGTTGTGCCGCGTGATGATCCCCACGATCTGGGACAAGGAGAAAAGCTGCGTCACCCAGGGACAAACGCGCTGGCGGGAAAGGGCCGGGCTGTCAGCCTGTCCCAGGGTGCGGAGGGAGACGGAGCTGGGGCTGGACACTGGAGGGCTGGGAAGACTCGCCGCCGGCTCTCCACCTCCCGGGTGAGGACGGGACGGGGGAACCAGGGCTCAGAAGCTGGAGGCCCGGGGAACACACACAGCTCCCGATGCTTGCAGCGGGCCTGGCTCACATCCGACCGACCTGGCGCATCTCCGACCGGGCTCACACTGCTCTCCGTCCTCCCCACAGCCTGCTGGCCTCGCAGGAGCTCGAGAGAGGCAGGGACCTGGGGCTTCAGAGTCTGTGACCCTGCCACACCCTACTGTCCCCGTCTTGGAGAGCTATTCTGCGAGCTGCTTCGTGCCACTCCTTCACATCAGCTCCCGTCACTGATGCGGGGACGGAAGGCCACAGCGCAAGCCGTCAGAACTGGTCGGAAGAGCTGGCAGCTTCACCCAAGGAAGGAACGCAATTCCATCTACAACAACTAAACTCGTGTCACAGCACGCTGTGCATGGGCCGGGTCACCTGGACGCCCCTTCCTTTACAGGGACATGGTGTCCTGGAGGGCTCTGAGGTAACACTGACCGAACGCCTCCAAAAGGGGGGCTCCAGGGAGCACCGCAGGGCTGTGGGTGCGGCCCTGGGCCAGCACCCTGCCCGGCCCTCAGCACCACAAAGGCAAAAAAGGGAAAAGCTAACACCGAAGGCGGAGATTCTCTGCTGAGGACAGACACTTCCCAGGGGGAAAATCAGCGTGAACCACAGGCTGTTTCCTTCAAACTAGACACAAGAGCTCTCTGGGCAAAGTGGAAGGCTGACGAAGAGCTGGCGTGGTGACCTCTGCAGCGCAGGGATGAGGGCGTGGCTCTGTTTGACCATTTCTTATTTTTCTCAAGGAAAGAAACAGTAATCATGTAATAAGGGGAAAATGAAGTTCTAAAAAGAAATAGGGGAAAGCCTGCAGCAATCGCTATTGGGTGTCCTATCTTTTAAACCGCTCAGGTGTCAGTCTGAAGCACTTTCCTCTGACTTCTGAATCCTCACGACTGGAGGGGAATGGGGAACGCGGGCTCAGGTCGCAGCTCTGAGCCAGTCTGGGAGGCGGGAAGGGCGCCACGGCGCCACCTGCTGGCCATGTGCGCAGAAATGCACTGAGGGACGGTTTCAGAGCCCAGGTGGGACAGCAAGGACAGCCGTCCACGGGCTGTGGTCTGAGAGCCTCCCCGCCGGACTCACCCCCACAGTACCCCGGCCACAGGGCCTTTCTCAAAGGCGGGTGCGCGGACTACGTCCGCAGAGGCTGGGGTCTCCAGGACTCACCTCCCCAACAGCGTTCACCACGGGCAGGTGGCGCAGGCCCATCGTCCTGAACAGGTTGAAGACCTGGGAGACGTGGGTGCTGGGGGACACAGTGAAGGGTGAAGGGTTCATGTACGGGGTGACATCCTGTCAAAGGACAGCGAGAGTCACCTGCAGTCTGCACGCAAGTGACAGGAGCAGGCGGCGCGCGCACAGGCCCAGCCCCTCACCACGATCATCCTCGGGTTGAGCAGGGTGAGGTCCAAGTCGTGGATGTCAGGGTACCGCGGGTAATCCTCGGCCATCTCGGCGTAGGAGAGGCGCGGCTGGCCGGCGCTCTGCAATTCCAACCAAGGCAGTGCTCTGGCACCGGGGCCATACTGACCCTCTGTCCCTCTGAGCTGGGCGGGGTGCAGGACAGAGCAGCTGTGGGTGGCACCGCGTGCCAGGAAGGCCCGGGTTCTACGCCCCGTACCAGCAGGGACCTTGCTGGAAGCAGAATCTTCACACATGTGACTGGGTTAAGAAGAGGTCACAACGGATGCCCCTAAGGTGGCCCTAAACTCAATGTCATTACAAAACAAAGAGAATGCGAGTTATAGAACTGGAGCCCGGTGGCTACAGCCTAGGAATGCCAAGTCCTGCAGCTGCCACAGGAAGTAGGCAGAGGCAGGCTGAGTCCTCCTAGAACCCTTAGGGAGAGCAGGGCCCTGCTGCCACCTGCATTTTATCCTTCCGGCTTGGAGCTCCGAAAGCCAGAGTTTATGGTGACTTGACACAGCAATCACAGGACAGAATGCACAAGCTGTCACTTCCTCAACTCCAGGCTCTGAGGTTTCTGGCCGTTCTCACTGCTGCCAGCCATCCATGGGCAGCGGGCAGTGCCAAGGGCTCCCAGGCTGGGTGCAAGGACCACAAGCACCGGCTACTGCCCTCCCTGTAACTCCACTCTGCCTTCCCCTGCACAGAGCTGTTTCCGTCACCCTGGTCCACAGCCTGCAGGGCAGCCCCTAATCCCTTACCTTCACAGGGCCGGCCCAGGCCCCCGGGATCCATCCTGTGCCACCCCGCCACCCCCTTGCCCCTTGCCATCCGGACTGGTCCCCCAGCCCCCACCAGGGGCTTGACACCACCCTAAGGGCCAGGACCCAACCCAGGAGAACCTGTCGGGAAACAGGTCTCCAGGCAGCTGCCTCAGTCTCCCCTGAAGGACAGTGTGTGTGAGGGGATCGTCTCAAGTGGCGCAGGGGCCACTTTAAACAACACCCCAAAACCCCAATGGAGAACTATGGTGGGGCTGACAGGAAGGGAAGGGTGGTGTTTCTTTCAATACACCTAGACTTTCATTTGCACCAGAAATTAAAATACGCAAGTTCTATCAGAAGCCAGTGGGAGGACGTGACTGCAGAGACCCAGGCTCCCCATGCCTCACATCACCTGAGGAGGCACCGATGCGGCAGAGGGGACAGGGGGCTCACGCGGCATCCCACAGCAGCCGGGGGGCACGGGAGCCCTGCAGACGGGGCTGTGCGCCCCAGCCCCCCGCCTCCCGAGCCTCACCGACTGGCTCTCGGAGTAGCAGACGCCGCGCACGAGCAGGGTGACGAGCTGCGAGCGCAGGACCAGGCCGTGGAAGGTGAGCGGGCGGAAGCGTTCCTCCATGGTCCAGTCTTCGCTCGGGGACTGGTCGGGGTACAGGTTGGGGTAGGGGGTGTATCTGTTACACAGAAACCAGACGCTGCCTAGCACAGCCGAGCGAGGGCGCCCCGCCAGCCCCAGCGCCGCGGGCCGCACCTGCGCTCCAGCATCTGCTGCAGGAGGTCCTCCTTCTCGGCCGGCTCCTCGGGCGCCACGTGCTCGTCGCACATGTTGCGCAGCTCGCTTGACGGGTAGGACTTCATGGACTGGCTCCGCTTGCGCTGCTCACCGGCCCGCGTGAGGACGCTGGACTTCTGCGGGCGGGAGCGGGGACAGGACAGGCTGCTACAGGGCACCCCGCGGCAGCGTGTGTTGAGCCCAGGGCCTGAGAGCGATGAGGGCCGAAAGCACCTCCCGACGCAGGACCGCGTGGGACTCTGGCTCAGGTCACAGGAGCCCATGCAAGTCCAAGGACTTGGCTGTGGGCCCTGCGGTCTGTCCAGGAGCCGTTTTCCTCTTCTGGGGCGCTGGGGGTTAAACCCTAGCCTTGTGCATGCTGAGGAGCACTGCCAAGCTGCCCCAGCCTGCCCAGCTTCTAACACCCCAGCACCCTGCTCCTTTTCTCGGGAAGAGCGCCTTGACCCTGCAGAGCGAAGGACCCCTGCCCTGTCCTGAACTGGGGAAATGATGGTCCAGGTGGCGGCCCCACCCAAAGCCAGCACAGCCAAGCGCCACGTGGGTACACACCAGGTGACGTGTGGGGCGCCCCTCTCCCCGGCTTCCAAGCCGGGAATGACAGGAGGACAGACCGGCCAGTGCCACTCCTGTGGGGACTCCCAGGCACCCTGAGCACCAGCAGCGCAGGCTCCCGGCCCTCCTGCCGGCCCTGACGCCCCGATCGGATTCTGGGCCCATCACCAGGTCCACATCTGCCGGGGAGAGCCCTCCCTGCCCCCCGCCGAGTCCATAACGCAGAGCAGAACTGCTGACCTCCGCCATCTGTCCCCATGCTCCCTGTGGCAAGGAGCGCACGCCTGTCCCACAGCCCGGTCAAATCCCCGCCACCATCACATACGCGCTCTGTCACACAGTGCAGACAGCGCAGGTTTTCCTAGAGCCGCCGGAGCCCGCCCTCGCTGGGGTGGGGCAGCGCCAGACAGCAGGGCACCGGGGCCCGCAGGCTTCTCTCACCACCCCACCCCCAGGCGCTTTCCCTGCCTTGAACTTGATGTTGTTGCTGATGAGCTGGTTGCCCTTCATGAACTCCTTCTCGTTGCCCCGGTTCTCGGTGACCACCGGGAAGGCGTGGTGGACGGTGGTGCGCAGGATGCTGACCAGGGACTGGATGCGCGTGTGCGGGTACACGTAGGTCAGGTTGGGCTCCATGATGTCGCTGGCTCTCAGCCTGGGGGGAGGGAGACCGCCCAGCCTCAGGAGGGCCACCACCCCGGCACACGTGACAGGCTGTGCTGGCGCTCGTCACGGCCTGGGCCGCTGGGGCTGCCGGGACCAGTGGGTTCCTCTGTGCTTCCGTCCCATCTGCACACGCTGCTCGGACACTGGGGTCGCCCCCTGCTGCCACACCGGTGGGTCCTTGCTCATCCCCTGGCCCATGGCTGCCCCTATCAATGTCCCCTCACCACAGGCCCCGTGAGCTTGCCAGGGCGGCATCCTCTCTGCAATACTCCAGAGCACGACCTCACCCCGAATGGATTAGACGAAACTTAACAACCAGTCGACGGCTCTCTCTGCACACCAGGAGTCAACAAGCTGCAGCCCACAAAGCAAATCCAGCCCCACACAGTATCTGCGGCTGCTTTCCTGCCACAGTAGTACGGCTGAGGGTGACAAGACACGCAAAGCTGAAAATATCTGCTACGTGCCCCTGTGTAGACCCTACACCTCAAAGGCCTTGCCGGTACCCAGGCAGGAAGCCTAGCATACGTGTAGATTGTGAGGCGGGTGCCTGGGCATTACGCCAACCACTGGTGACAGGTGACACTGAAGGGTGCACGTGGATGGGCAGGTCTCACTCCTGGGCTCAGTGTGCCCTTGGTATACACAATCACACCACACACATAACCCAGAGATGCTACTTCATACTGGAGCGGACTGCCACGAGGGCCAGGCGACCTGGGAGGGCCCTGCCTGTCCCTCAGCTGCCAGCCTCCCTCCCGTGCTCAACATTCCCGAGCACACAAGGGAACAATGGGCCTGCTTCTTCCAACCCTCGAGGCTTGAGCCACCGCTTCCTACGCTAATTCTAGCATTCTTTCAGCCCCAGAGCTAGAAGTTCTGACGCCAGGGCAAGAGAGAAATAGGGGACTTACTTATCCATCTCGACCTCCGTCTCCCACTCCAGAAGCGGCACGCCTCGAAGGCCCACGTGGATGTCATAAATGCCCTTATTGAAGAAGTCCCCTGTCCATTTGGCCACCTGAAACACAGAGCACAGGCCTGACGAGAGAGAGGGCTCCGGGGTGAACCGGGCCTAGGCCTGAGAGCCCGGGGGACAAGTGCTCACCATCAGGGTGATCATGATGGGAAGCCCGTACGTGATCTCGTTGGTGGACTCGATCAGGATGACCGTGAGACTGATGGTCATGCGGACGACCCCACCCAGGAAAGCTGCGGCACCGATCAGCGCAAAGGTCCCCGAATAGATGTGGCCCAGGCCAATGTAGCTGGTGAAGGAACCAGGAAGGGGGCTTAGGAACATCTTGGTGGACTGAACGGTGGGGTGTGCAAGGGGTGAACCGACAGCTTGAACACTGCGCATGTGCGCATATATATACACACAGATGGACACGTGCTTACACACGCACGCGCACACCCACTGTACCTTTTCAGGACATTGGCAACTAAACGTCCAAAAGCGGCTCCACACAGCAGCGAAGGTACAAAAAGCCCACTCGGAACCGAAATGCCGTAAGTCCAACACGCCAGCAGGAAATAGAGGACGAAAAACAAGGCCAAGGTGATGGGGCTGAACGTCCCTGCAAGGTAAGAACTGACCTGAGTCCCACCACAGGGGCCTGGCGAGCCTCCGCAGAGCACTCGGCCCCTGCGGTCCTTCCACGCCCCGGCCGGCTCCCCTCCCCACACTGCCCCGGCGGGCGGCGCGGAGGGAAGTCCTGCCCTTGCTCAGACTGAAGGGCAAGCCCGGCCCTGGGGGCGGCACAGCACGCACTCACCGTCCTGGTGGAAGAGCTGGAGGATGGCAGACTCCTGGGGATTGAAGAAGAGCGTGGCCATGTCATTGTAGGTGTCGTTGGGACAGAAGAAGGTCTTGATACTTGAATTCACATCTTCGGATGTAACCTACGAAGCAGGGAACAAAAAGTCAGCGAAGGGCGTCTGACCGGGGCGCTCCTGAGTCTCTGAGGGGGACGGCGCCAGCGAAAACAAGAAGCCTGGCAGCCACCTTTACTTGCAGATTCAACGGGCAGCAAAAGCAGCCGCCTGTGATGCTGAATTCTTTGCATTTGGGATGCAGCGTGGAGAGTGAGGAAAAAGGCCTTCAGTTACCCACTCTCACAACAAAAATGCAACTACGCCGTGGTGCGCCACGGACTGGACTCCGCTTCCTCTCGGCGCTGACTGTGACACTGGGGGCAGCCAGGCTCAGGAGCCGCAAGGACAAGGCAGCGAGAGACAGACGGCTGGGGAGGAGGGTCCAGGCCACCGCTGGACTCAAAGCCCAAATGCAAACAGCCTTGGCTCGGGACTTCTTCCAAAAGAAACCCACCTTGCAGGAAGCCTGACAGGAGACGGCGCTCCCGGCTCCCCGTCCCCCTAGTCCAGAGGACAGACCCCACACGGGAGGTTCCGCCTTCGTTCTGTGTGGGACGAGACCTGGTCTGGCAGAGGGCCCCTGGTGGCGGGACCTGGAGGAGAAAGGCGCAGGGGCCCAGAGGCTCGGAGCGGAGCCCGCAGTGGACGAGCACAGGGCATAGCTTGGTAACAATAAACGCACGCTCTCCCAAGCCGTGTCCGCAGCCACCAGTGGGAAAAGCCCAGGGGTCAGGAGCGCTGAGAACCATCAGCGCACTTCCTGGAAACCACTGTCTGCGAAGGCAGAGCGCAGACTCCAAAATCAGCTTTCACTCTGACTCTGCCACTGGCTAGTGACCTTGGGAAGGTTCCTCACTGTGTGATGCTTCAGCTTCCTCATCTATAACAAGCGGACAACGCCTTCCCTCGCACTGTACATGCTGGCCACGGGATCGTGATGAAGACCTCACCTGCCCCAGGGACACTATCACTACCCAGCGGGTGGCGGTAAGGGTTCAGTGAGATGTCTGCTGTGGCTGTGGACTATCTGGAAGACAGTAAATGTGCCAACCCTAACACTCACTGGAACATTTTAGGTTCTAGGAAGTCCTGTACTGAAGAAATGTATTTTTAGCCAGGCGTGGTAGTGCACACCTATAATCCCAGCATGCGGGAGACTGAAGCAGGAGGATCATTGCGAGTTTGAGACCAGCCTGGGCTACAAAGTGAGCTCAAGGCCAGCCTGAACTGCACAGGGAGACCCTGTCTCAAAAAGATCAAAAAAAAATATTTTAAACTGGGCCTGGTGACGTATGACTATAATCCCAGCTACTTGGAAGGCTGAGGCAGGAGCATCACAAGTTTGATGCTAGCCTGGGCAATTTAGTGAGACCTTGTTTCAAAGTTTAACAAAGGGCTGGGGGTATAACTCAGTGGTGGAGCACTTGTCTAGTACATGTGACGCTCTTGGTTCATTCCTCAGCACCACAAAAAAGAAAAAAAAGTGCCTGTTTAATTCTGGCTAACCTATTAGACCACAGAAAGCTGTTTATACCTGAACCATCTACATCACTGTTCTGTAACTGAGCAGAGTTGAGAAATACTGTCTGGCAACGAGGCAGCCTTGGGAGTAACTAGTAATGGGGACCAATAAACTTCTATGAAGAACCAGACAGTGAGCCGGGCCTGGTGGCGCACGCCTGTAATCCCAGCACTTGGGAGGCTGAGGCAGGAGGATCGCTTCGAGTTCGAGGCCAGCCTGGGCTACAAAGTGACCCTGAGCCTCCATGGACTGCTCCTGCGGACCCTGCAGGTGGCCTCCAAGACAAGGGAGCAGAGGGGGCTGACTGACGTAGGAGGCTGGTGAGGGCAACAAGACAGGGCGTAGGGAGAATGCTCGTCAGCCTCACCCCAGAAGCTGGACCCCAGGGCGGCTCTGCTGACCACAGGAGCACCCGCTGCAAGGGCCACAGTCAGTCACAGAAGTGGACGAGACAGAGGCCACCCAGCGCACACCCTCTCGGGTGAAGGATGATCACACGTTCCTGCACCTCTCGGCAACCTGCGATGGGTGTGCAGTGGTGACCTGACACATCCGGCAGCTCTGAGCAGAAGCCCTTTCTGGGTGTGGGAAGAAGGCAGCAGAGGCACTGGGGTTACCTGGAGCTGGAACGAGCCATTACCGATCTGACTCGAAGAGGACATCTGTCGGCACTCTCCCAGCACCATGGAGGCCACAAACACCACCACGGTGGTTACCAGGGACACCAAGAGGCTCTCCAAGACTCTAGGGAGCAGAGCACAGTCGTCACAACGCAGTAACTGAACGCCAGGTCTTGAGAACTGGAAGCACGCATCCTGCTGACCGCCACCCTCTTTTCTGCAAGGGGCACTCACAGCCGCCCCTGGTCAGTCAACACACACGAGCAGAATTATCAGATCTGCTGTAACCCCGCAAAGTGTGCGTAGTTCATTGACTTCGCATCGATCAAGTGGGCTGCTGCGTCCACATCTATCCCAAGGAATGAACAGGCTTCCGCGCTAAGCCCCGGGGCCACGAGTGGCCCACGACAGCCAGCAGGTCAGGAGGAAGTCAGCTCGGCTCAGCCTTGCGGCCTAGCTGACGAGCAGGGTAAACTCAGGTCCCTGTTCTCAGTCTTAGACCAGAAATCAAAGCTGGCGCAGGAAGCAGGGGCTGCGCACGTGACCGCCTTCCTCGGGAGAGGTGGCCTGGCCCACACGGTCTCAGGGAGCCACAGCAGGCTGGGGGAGGCGACTGCACAGGTACCTGACAAGTTTAGGTTTCGGGTGCACGTTTCGCATACGGTACTTTGCAAGCCTCTTGTTCAGACAGTTGAATGTGGCTCCTAGGAGGCCCCCAATGACCCCCATCACGACGAAGAAACCCAAATCCATAGCAGTCCAGAGATGACATTTTTTATCAGAGTCAGAGCACTGAGAGACGGGAGCAGGGGGAGAGAGAAAAACCAGAGCGGCCATGAGCACAGGAAGGAATAGAAGAAAAGACAGAAACAAGAGCTGCAGCTGCCTCCCTTTCTACAGCAGTCCTGCTCCGACAAGTGTGGGTGTGCCCAGGAGACGCCTCTGGCGAGGCACCCTGCAGAAGCGGCGCCTGCCCTCTCCGCACTCCCTGCCTGTGCTTTAACGACCAAGCGGGTTGCATGGGCCCAGTGCGACATCTTGAGAGAAAGGACAAGACACACCTTAAACTCGCCGAAGTTCAGCAATCCAGGGAGCTGGAAGGAACCCCAACTTCCAAACTGAATTCCGGAACGGAAGAAGTTGAGCGTGAAGGTGGCAGACATGGAACAGAAGAGCTAGGGGACAGGTGACAGAAAGAACAGTCAACAGAGACACGCCTGTCTCCTCACAGTTTCTCCTAAAACCCACTGCTTCCCCTCTGGCATGAGAGCCTTTATTGAGACCTCCTCTGGCACAGACCCTGTGGCACCAGGAAGGGGCGATTCATAGAGGACACATCACTCTAGGCACGACACAGGTTCAAGTCTCAACCCTGACAACTCCTGCCTTAGGGGAATGACAGCTGCACACTTTTCAGCTGGATGGGCTACAAGGAGTTTGGTGTGAGGTTTCATGTTTGGGCGGGGAGTACGGATACGGGCAGCAGAAAAGCCCACAGTGTGGAGGTTACAGCTGCTATGGCAGAAGAAGCTCCCACTGAGCAGGCCCCCCAGTCTCACCACAACAGTGGTGGGATAGACAAAGGCCCAGTTTAATTTTGCTGGTGTGGGGAGGCCTAGGAGGTGGCCTCCAATGATGGCTGACATCTCCTCACCACTTTCCACGTGAGCCCTTGGTTCCAAAAGGACGAGCCCTCCTCCAGGCTGAACAACGTGCCCCCGATCGGGGCCCCGAACGCTGCAGCGACTCCTGCAGCTGCCCCTGCTGATACGAAGTCTCGCTTATCTCTGAGGAGAGAAGTCAAGGACAGAAATGGGACCCTCAGGCTGCACAAGCAGCTTCTCATTTCCTTATCAGGAACGTTTTCTATCTCAGCCCACGAACAGGATCACGAAAGGCTGGGTCCCCAGAGAGGGACTCGGCAGCACATGCGGGTCACCTGCTGGCCAACACCCCCTACATGCTACAGTTTGGATCTGAATTGTCTTGCCAATGGCTTGTGTATTATGGGCTGGTAGCTCAGCCCATGGTGCCGTTAGCAGGTCGAGGAACCCTTAAAAGGCGGGGCCAGGCTGGAGGAAGATAGGTCATTTGGGGCGTGCCCTGGAGGAGATATTGGGACCTCAGTCCCTCCTCTTCCTGTTTCAATTCCTGCTTATGAGAGCAACAGTACTGAAACCCTCAAAAGTGTAAGCCAGAATCAG